TCTATCTGAATGGTATGTCAAATTTTGTATTCATGAAATGTGTTGATATTTTATGCCATCCATTGGCTAACATGTTCAACAGATCGTTTTTAGGAAACGCCATACCAGCTGTATGGAAAGATATGAAAATATTCCCCTTACCTAAGTCTAGGACTCCTGGTAGATGTACAAAACACCGTCCGATTGCAGTTACCTATTCGTTCTTAAGGATAATGGAGAAGCTAATGATACCTGTGCTCGAGCTCTCACAGAAGGCTTTTGGAGACCCTAATCAATTTGCATATAAAAGCAGAAGAAGCACTTTGGATGCCAACACTCTCTTAGATCACGATATTTCTTATAATCTTCACAAAAATGCCAAGTGTGACAGGTGTACCCTTTTGAACTATACTTCAGCATTTGATTCCGTCCCAAGACGTATTTTCCTGAACAAGTTTAACCGGGACAAATACTGAGTCCTAGATAATCAGCTGGCTGTATTCCTACCCGTCCGATAGGAAACAACATACTGTTCACAGAGGGAAGAGCTCCACCTCATTGCTTAGTGTGACTGGAGTTCCCAAAAGAGCCATCCTTCACACCTGTCTTTTCTCTTCTTTTCTCCATGACTTCAGCTAGTAACTATTTCAACAAGTATATTGATAACCTGGCAGTTTCCACACCCATCTCCTCTTCAAAAGATTATTCCTATCTACTGTTAGACGACGGTCTTCCATGAATGGTCTTATACTTAATTCTTCAAAATGTCAGACAGCAAACTCTAATTTTAGACATCAGCATAACCTGTGTAAAGTGATTGGTTCTCATCATCACCTCGCCTGGTTAACTAGTTTACTAGTTACTAGCCGGTCCTAAGCCCGGGTAAAGAGGGAAGGTTGGGCATAGGGCTAGCAACCCTACCCCGTAAAACAAATCTAACCGCTAAAGAAACTTCAAAGCACAAACAAAATATAAAAAATGAAAACAAACTTATTCCCCGCTGGAATCGGAGAGGCGAAATGACGCCAGTTGGTGAAAGCCTTCGGGAAGCCAATTGGCCGATGTGTCTTCTCTCCCTCGATGAAAGCGAAAGTAAACGTGGGGACATGGAATGTCCGTACGATGTTTGAACCCAGTAAGGCAGCCCAGATTGCAAGGGAGATGAGAAGGTATAACATCGAAGTGCTTGGGATTTGCGAAAGCAGACGCAATGGGAGTGGACTCTCCAAACTGTCAACTGGAGAATCAATAATCTACTCCGATATTGTCACCCAGACGACAACCACGAGCACACTGAGTTTTGGAGTGGCTATCATGATGTCCTCAAGAGCATCGAAGGCTCTCATGCAGTGGGAACCAATCTCCTCCTGCAGGATCATGACAGCAAGATTCAACTCAAAAGGAAGAAAGGTCACAATCATACAATGCTACACTGTGCACCTACAAATAATGCAGAGCAAGAGAAAAAGGAGGATTTCTACAGACAACTTCAATCAACACTGGACAAGACGTCAGTTGGCGATATCAAAATTCTGATGGGCGACATGAATGCCAAACTGGGAGGGGACAACACGGGAAGAGAACTGTGCATGGGTCGAGAGGCGCTAGGTGAAATGAATGAGAATGGAGAATTGTTTGCAGAATTCTGCGCATTCAACGATTTGGTGATTGGAGGCAGTGTGTTCAGGCACAAGGATATCCACAAAGCGAGCGACATGGATTTCACCAGATGGACACACTAAAAATCAAATCGACTTTATCTCAATCTCAAGAAAATGGAGACGCAGTCTACTTAACACAAGGTCAAGAAGAGGAGCAGATGTAGGTTTAGACCACTACCTAGTGCAAGCAACCTTCCAAATCAAGTTAAAAGCCTTCAAGGAAGCTGGTGATAGACCTCAACTCAAGTACAACACTCGGAAACTGAAGGATGAAACTACAAAGGAGATCTTCAAGGCAGCCATCAAGACAAAATGGGAGACATCGAGCAACATCCCTGAAGAAACCTGTGTGGAAGAACACTGGAAGTCTTTGAAAGAGATGTGGAAAGAAACCTGCACAACAGTATTGGGAAGGAAGAAGAAAGAAGACAAGGAATGGATCTCGACGGATACCTGGAAGCTGATAGAGGAGAGGAGGATGGTGAAGCAGGAGATAAACCAGCGCAAGGATGCTCAACGAGAAGAGGAACTGAGCACAATGTATAAAACACTACACTGGACCAAGAAGTGAAGAAGAGTGCACGCAAAGACAAAAGACACTTCAACGAAACACTGGCAAGTGAAGCAGAGCAGGCTGCAGGTAAGAGAGACCTGACGACATTGTATCAAATAACCAGGTTGCTATCAGGGAAGAGACCAACACAGATGAAACCAATAAAAGATGAAGAAGGAAATTTAATTACAAAAGAAGAGAAACAGAGGAAACGATGGGCCGACCACTTCAAGAAGCTCTTGAATCGACCACCACCTGCACTTCGTCCAGAAATACCACCTGCAGCCGCTGAAATACAAGTGAACATTAATCCCCCAACGAAAATGGAAGTCCTGAACGCCATAAAGCTACTGAAATGCGGGAAAGCAGCAGGACCAGATGGAATACCGCCAGAAGCACTGAGAACAGATGCAGAGACAACAGCGGACATGCTCACACCACTATTGCAGAAGGTGTGGAGGGAAGAGAAGGTACCTGACGATTGGAAGAAGGGTTACCTTGTCAAACTGCCGAAGAAGGGAGACCTCAGTGCTTGCAAGAACTGGCGCGGAATCACTCTCCTGTCCACCCCAAGCAAAATATTAAGCCGCATCATCCTGGAGAGGCTAAGGGATGCACTGGATTCAAAACTACGACCGGAACAGGCAGGCTTCAGGAAGTACAAATCATGTGCAGACCAAATTGCAACGCTTCGTATCATCATAGAACAGAGCATAGAATGGCAATCAGCTCTCTACCTCAACTTCATCGACTTTGAGAAGGCCTTTGACAGCGTCGACCGAGAAGTAATTTGGAAACTGCTTCAATACTACGGAGTACCGCAAACCTTTATCCGCCTCATTCAACAACTATATGAAGATGCCACATGCCAAGTAATCCACAATGGGAAGCTCAGTGATGCCTTTGAAGTGAAGACAGGAGTGAAACAAGGTTGTCTACTATCCCCCATGATATTCCTTATTGTGGTGGACTGGATCATGCAGCAGACAGTAGGCAGCGAGAAGAGGGGGATACACTGGACGACGGAAAAGAACCTAGAAGACTTGGATTTCGCCGATGACTTATGCCTAATGTCACATAAACTTGAAGATCTGCAGGCAAAAACTAACAAGTTGACAGAAGAGGCAGCTAAGACGGGACTTCAGGTGAATATAGAGAAGACAGAAGTGATGAAGATACCGCACCACCACCATCAACAACAACAACAACAAACTCCAATCACCGTCAACGGGAGAAACTTGAAGGAAGTAACCTCCTTCACTTATCTAGGAAGCACTGTTTCAACTACAGGCGGGACGGACGAGGACGTCAAAGTCAGAATCGGAAAAGCAAGACAGGCGTTCATTAGCCTGAAACCAGTGTGGAGATCTTCTGCACTCAGCATGCGGAACAAGATACGGATTTTCAACACCAACGTCAAGTCAGTGCTCTTGTATGGCTCAGAGACTTGGCGCGTCACGAAAGGTATTTCCAATAAACTACAGACATTCATCAACAACTGCTTACGCTCGCTACTGAAGATCAGATGGCCAGAAAAAATAAGCAACAAGGAACTCTGGGAACGAACCAACCAAGAACCTATCACGCAACAAATATGCAGGAAGAAGTGGAGATGGATTGGGCATGCACTGAGAAGGCCGACTGAGGACATCACGCGTCAGGCCAGGTACTCGAGTGGAATCCCCATGGGAAGCGACGAGTTGGACGTCCGTGGTGAGGGTGACATGGAGGAGGTCGTGCGAGCAGGAAATGAGAGCTTGTGGGCTGTCGTGGAACCAGGTTCAAAAGATCTCAGAGAACAGAGGTCACTGGAGGCGTGCTACTGAAGCCCTATGTTCCACTAGGAACCCAAGGGACTAATAATAATAATAATAATATAAATTCCTATTCTATTCATAGTGGTGTATTAGAGAATGTTACGAGTGTGATTTATCTCAGTGTGTGTTCTTCTTCTTCTTCTTCACACCTTTCCTGGTCATTCTCACATCTTATTAATTAATTTCCAAAAGAATTTTCCACCTCACCTTCTACATTAGGGAGTTGGGAGTGAGTGGTATAACTCAGTCTCCCTTCCTGTATTTCATAATCTCCTGCATCTTACCTGTTCTTCCATTGTTCTCCTCCATTGTTTCCTGGACAACTGAGAGAAGACTACTATGCTATATTGTGTAGAGCTTTGAAGATTGTCAGTAGAACTGGTGGTGTACCTCTCTCTAGATATTCTGTTTACAAGAGTTGTGGACGAACATATTAACTCATGTAAGCATCTTGGGGGAGTCATTTTATCAGATGACCAACATCCTCTTCACTCGAAGCTCTCTCTCTGTGTGTTGGTCATGTGGAAAGACGATGAGCAAGTACATAGAAGTCTATGGACGCACTACTTAGTATAAAATCTCTACAATTCCATACTGTATTTAGCTCATCTGATTTGTAATGAAGAGAGTGTAAGAAATGAATTAACTAATCCACTTATGTATTTCAAAGTAAACTAACTGAAGTTGAGCATGTTACTTTTTGCATATTATGAATCTAATTACTAATGTGATTGTCTACGTAAATTGACTGTGGATTTTCAACAAATTTTTTTATACGGTGCATATGCTTATCTTTTCTTTTTATACGTAATTCTTAGTTATTTCATTTTGGTATGTATACATACATGTGTACTGTCTCTGTCGAACTGATGGTAAATGACATGGTGAAAATTCTGTAACGCATTCATGAAATAGCTTTCAGAATAAAGCCATTATTATTATTATTACTATTATTATTATTATCTCAAATGGAGTTTTGCTAATCTGTACAAATGGACCTTATTATCTGCCGAACAAAGTCTGGCATATGATAGTTTTGGTAGTAGCAAATTACTCGGTACAAATGAAACCATGTTCTTATAATGGAAGATACATTAGAAAGGTAAATACTCACTGAATAAGATGTCTAGGATGACAATGAAACGTTCACCATATGAAATAAATATTACAAAAGTATGGTATACAACATATATTATTTTTTTTCATGTCCTCTTGATCCTGGAGGATATTTTGTAATGTCATATTGTGCTAAACGCTCAAATACAGTGATAATATCTTGTTCGGTCATTTTTTTCATATTTGGTTCTACCATACTCTCAGGTGAACATCCATAATCATAACGATTAAATCCAAGCATTATTCTAGCAGATGTTGATTCAACAGGTCCCTTCTTTTTATCATATTTTGTTAATCTTTCAATAATCTCTTCTAATTTCTGTTTATTACACTTCCGATGGTGAATACTACTTAAAGAGGATGAATTGTTTTTCATATGTGGAGATTTTTTATTCATCAATCTGTCAACCATTTCATCTACCTGAAAAATAAAAGATAAACTTGGTAAAATTATCTTTTTTTTATACTAGAGGTTTGTGGAAATCTACTAAATGATTTCAGGTATGAATTTTGATAGGGTAATTAGAGGATGAAGTTTGTCTGACCAATGTAGGTGTATGATATATTTGCGTAATACAGATAGTTAATTAACAATCAATATAATGATCCCTATCTATAATTCAGTTACATACGCATTGAGATGAGAAGTCCTGATTGGTAGGCAGCCAGCAGCAGTCAGACTTCGTATCTCAATCGGTAGAGCTTCAGGCTGGAAACTCAGTGGTCACTGGTTAAAATCCAACTGCGGTCGAATTTTTCATTTCACCTTCAATCATCAACCGGTAAAATTAGATGATTGATCTTATTTAGGTGTGTTATTGTATATTTAGCTAAATTCCTATGTTCGGCTATTATAACCGACCGCGATCGACTAGTTTGATCTATGTACTTGACCCCACTCACAGTCAATACATGGAATTTGATAGATAATATTATTTTGCTTAAGCTGACAAAGTTCATCTCTGAGTGAGTTTGTAGGTTTAAATGCCATCCAAATTCCAGTTATGTTGAGGATTCTACGTAAAGTTTCTCAGGTACCCTCCTTATAGGGTAATACAATGGAGGCTGTGAACTCCTTTCTGCTTGTGTGGCCGTTACTAGTCGCAGTCGTGTGACTGTTATTCTTTTCGTTTTTTCTGTATCCGTAAGAATTTCTTAATAAACTGCGAAGGATAATTATTAACTATTAACGCTTCTTTTACGGGTTTCAATTCCTTGTTTAGGTTCTTGCTGTGACTAGTCAGTTTTCTAGCTGTACAATCACTGAGACATTTGACTAATCTTGCCTTAACTGACATTGGATGGGATGATTTCAAGTCTAGATAACTGTTGGAATGTGTTGGTTTTCTGTAGACAGTAGTATCCAAGTCACCGTCTGTTCTTCGTTTTATTCTGCAATCGAACATAGGTAATTCTCTTCGTTTATTTTCTACCTCCTCGTAATTGGATTGGATTGCGTTTACTACTGAGTTTATATGCATGAGAAAATTGTCTATATGTTTCGATTTCAACACAGTGGGGAATGTGTCATCCACATTATTATTCTTTGTCCTTGGATTCCTAGTCGTACATAGGGCTTCAGTAGCACGTCTCCGTTCCACTCCCTTCTCTGCAAACTTTTGAACCTGGTTCCACGACTGCCCACAAGCTCTCATTTCCTCCTCGCGCGATCTCCTCCATGTCACCTCCACATCGGACGCCCAACTCGTCGCTTCCCATCTGGGTTCCACTCGAGTGCCTGGCGCGTGATGTCTACTAATGGTCTTCTCAGTGTATGCCCAATCGACCTCCACTTCCTTCCAGTGCATATTTGTTGAGTGATAGGTTGTTGGTTTGTTGACAGCCAGAGTTCCTTGTTGCTTATTCTAATTATTCTGGCCATCTGAGCTTCAGTAACGAGCCAGCGAAGGCGGCAGTTGTTGATAAATGTCTATAGTTTGTTGGAAATGCTTTTCGTAACGCGCCAAGTCTCTGAACCATACAGAAGCACTGACCTGATATTGGTGTAGGACTATAAATCAAATAAACAAATCTAATATGGGATTAATTTCTATTTACAGTGCCCAAGTTTTACACCTATATTAATTTTATTGTTTATTTAACATTGTAAGGTGATAGTTTAATTAAATAAACGAAAGTTGGATGCAATAAATAAATATAGTGCAAAGAGTAATAGCTTGATGGACAGTTAGTCATGTTAGGGAACAAAATAGGTTAAAATTATGAACAAGCATCTACACTATGAACTCAGAAAATTGGATTACCTAGGGAAGAATGCAAAGGAATTTGTGACTCCTAAATCAGGTCAAGACAATGGTAGTGATATTACCTACTTTTTTGAACGTATAACCTCGACTGTTCAATCTTGACTGAATTCGGTTATCTTTTAACAAGTTGGTAGAAACTCTATAAAGAATAGTTTGTTCCAACCAAGTATACTAATAAAGACCTGATAATGATCTTTACCACACTTTTACTTAACCAAATTGGAAGGTGTTTGTAAGCAGAGACATATAAATTCTTGGAACAGTGACTGAAATAACTAGCTCTATAAAAACAGTCAATCTGATGAACACAACAGGAAGTGACTAGTCTAAGCAATTCATCTTTCAGTCTTGGTATCATAATTAGGCATACAGAAAAGGAAATCTGCTATTTATCAGCATTAAATGTTCTCTAAACTAGATATTAGATATCCTGGTTGTATTGTGTTCTCTGAGCTGGACTGTTTAATCGTGAAGCATTCGTCGTCTTTCTAGGCACCAACATCATGAGCACTAAATTCAGTATGAAATGAGCTGTCAATATCTCTCCGTGAGTGATTTAGTGGCTTGCTCTGACGATGTGGTCTGTGATTGGTTGTTTCCTTCGATTGTTGTGTCATTGATTGTATAGACTTTCCTGTTGGCTGTTCCTCTGCTTCACGTCTGACCTCTCTGTCGTCTACCATTTTTCTTATTAGTTGATGCATCGGGTCTATGTCTATACATCTATTGATTGCTGACTGACCTGAATGTCGAAACTGAATTCATGTCAATAGTAGTCATCCACATGCATTGAAATGAGTCATGAAATGTCATGTGTGACATTCAATAGCCAATTGGTGTTCATGTAAATGACGAAGGCGAAGAGAGCGACCACTATGTCCAATGAAGTATTGACTACAGTTACTGCAGTTGATTTTGTAAATGACATTCGATTTATCTTCTTTGCTTGTTGCATTCTTTGGTTTGCATTATAGAGTTTGGAGGGAATTTGTTGGTTTATGAGTGGCCACTCCAATTCCAAGTGATCTCAGTAATCTTGTCATAATCTCTTATGTATTTTTTTTAATGTATGGTAGGACGATGTGCTTGTTGATTTCTGTCGGTGACTTTGTAGTTGATGAGGTACAGGATAGGCATCTTGTGATAAAGTTTCGTGGGTAGCCGCTCTTCCTTAGGGTGGACACCATGTAATTTTCTTCATTTCTCCGTGAAGTTGTTGTGCAGCAGTGTGTTCTCGCTCTTTTGAATACAGTCTGCATGCAACTGATTCTGTGTGTTGTCAGGTTGTTCCTATTGTAGTTGAGGATCTGCGCAGTCAGTGTGTGTTGGCTTCCTGTACACTTGGGTTTCCAGCTTTCCGGCATTCGTCCGACTGACTAAAACATTCAGGAATGGTAGTTGGCTGTTTGACTCTTTCTCCATTGTGAATTTGATGTCATTGAAAACGTTGTTGATCAAACTGTGAGTGTTCTCCATATCATGTTTTTTAATGATGACAAAAGTATCCTCCACATAGCGAATTCAGAATTTTGGTTTGATCACAGATAGAATATTAGATATCAGATATATTTGTTTGATTTATAATACACAGTGTTATAGTATTAGTTATGTGTTGACGTTTCGAACATAAATTATCATTGCTCATAATCATATCAATGTAATCACACAGCACTTTCGACATTTCACTTGTATAGTTACGTCGCCTTATATGAGTTTTTTTATTGGTAGCGAAATTTTTCATATCTCTGGTATAGGTGTTGCGTCATTTCTATTACATGTGTTCAGTGTTGATTCGATTAATAGAGATTCAGTAATGTATTTTTTTTTGAGATGAATGGGGATTTTTAATTTAGAAGTAGTATTCATCATGGACTGACATCAGTTGGGGAACCATTGAAAACCTGGGAGCACTGGACAGCCGTTTCGTCCTAGTATGGAAGTCCTCGGCAGTACGCACCCACGACCCGGACAGGGGTCGAACTCAGGACCTTTAGATTTCAAGGCGAACGCGTTAACCATTCAGCCATTGGGTTGGTTCCCAGTGGTTCACAATTTCCAACTTCTGTCAATTCACGACATAGCGTGACTGTCACCCCTAGCCGGGTCGTTGGTGCGTACTGCTGGGGAGTCCCATACTAGGACGAAACAGCTGTCCAGTGCTCCCACATTTTCAGTGGTTCCCCAACTGATGTCAGTCTATGACGAATACTACTTCTAAATTAAAAATCCCCATTCACCTCAAAAAAAAATACATTACTCTATAGTGCTCATTAGTGACTTGCTTCCAGATGGATGTTAGGAAGTTCTAATGAGAAGTCATGACTTGTGGGGTCCACCAGTCAGAAGTGAAGTGGATGCTGACTGAAGACCTTGGGTCATAGTCTCGCTATGTCGTGAATTGACAGAAGTTGAAAATTGTGAACCACTGGAAACCGACCCAGTGGTTGAATGGTTAACGCGTTCGCCGTGAAACCTGAAGGTCCTGGGTTCGACCCCTAGCCCGGTCGTTGGTGCATACTGCCGAGGAGTCCCATACTAGGACGAAACAGCTGTCCAGTGCTCCCAGACTTCCAAGAGATTCGGTAATCAATCTCTATCTCCGCCTAATTAACACAGCCATGCAGTAGAGTAGGATAAAGCCAATGTACTTCAGTGCAATATAATTAGGTGGAGAGATAGGGAGAGATTGATTACTGAATCTCTGTTCATCGAATCAACACTGAACACATGTAATAGAAATGACGCAACACCTATAATAGAGATCGTATTCATAGTGGCTGTTTAGTCAGAACTTCTCGTCACAAAATGGAAAGACATATACAACAGCTAACACAATTATTATTTGTCCCTTAGGTTCCTAATGGAACATACCGCTTCAATTACACGTCTCCAGTGCACTCTGTTCTCCGCAAAATTTTGAACCTTGCTCCACGACAGCCCAGAAGCTCTCATTTCTTCCTCGTACGATCTCCTCCATAACTAACACAATAGGGGATTACAATTAAGAAAGATGAGAACAAACACAAAGTGACCTAGTTGATCCTAGTTATGGTAAGAAAGAGAGGCAAGGACTGCGTGACAGTAAAGGAACTAAACAAGTTTCTGCGCTTTTCCGTCGAACTTGTTGAGGCGAATGTAAAACTTTACTTCTAAA